CAGCATTATACTAACTCCAAAGCCAGATAAAGACACTACAAAGAAAGAAAATTATAGGCCAATATCTCTGATAAACATAGATGTTAAAGTCCTCAACAAAATATTAGCAAAACATGATGAAGTGGGATTTATTCCAGGCATGCAAGGTTGGTGTAATATCTGCAAATCCAAAAATGTGATACATAAACAAGACGATGGATAAAAGTCACATGATCACATTGATAGATGCAGAGAAAGCATTTGATAAAATTTAGCACCCATTTATAATGACAAATCTCAGCAAAGTGGAAATAGAGGAAACATACCTCTATTTCCACTTTGGAAAGTGGAAGGCCATGTATATGGTCTTCCATAATAAAGGCCATAAATGACAAACCCACAGGCTACATCATACTCAATGGGCAGAAACTACAAGCATTTCCTTAAGATTGGGAACAAGACAGGGATGTCTGTTTTTACCTATCTTATTCATCATAACAGTGCAAGTCCCAGCCACAGCAATCAGACAACAAGAAGAAATAAAAGGCATCCAAATTGGAAAGGAAGAAGTAAAACTGTCATTATTTGCAGATGACATGATACTGTATATAGAGAACCTTAAAACTTCCTCAAAATAGCTACTAGAACTGATCAATGAATTCAGTACAGTAGTAGGATACAAAATTAATTATCCAGAAATCAGTTGCATTTTTATACAACAATAATGAACTATCAGAAAGGGAAACTAAGAGAGCGGTCTCATTAACAATCGCCTCAAAAAGAATAAAATACCCAGGAACAAATTTAACCAAGGATTTAAAAGAACTGTACTCAGAAAATTATAAGACACTGAAGAAAAATAATTGGTGAAGATTCAAATAAGTGGAAACATATACTGTGTTCATGGATAAGAAGAATTAACATCATTAAAATGTCCATACTACCCAAAGCAATCTATAGATTGAACACAATTCCTACTAAGATACCAATGGGGTATTTCATGGGACTCTAAGAAATATTTTTAAAAGTTTATATGGAATCACAAAAGACCCCAAATAGCAACAGCAATTTTGAGAAAGAAGTACAAAGTTGGAGGAATCATGCTACCTGATATCAAACTATACTTCAAGGCCATAGTAATCAAAGCAGCATGGTACTAGCATGAAAACAGATATGAACGCATAGATCAACGGAACAGAATAGAGAGCCCAGAAGTAAACTCACACATTTATAGTCAATTAATATTTGAAAAAAGAGGCAAAAACATACAATGGGGTAAATACAGTCTGGTCAATAAATGGTGTTGGGAATATTGTACAGATGCATAGAAAACAAATGAAATTAGACTACCTTCATACACCATACACAAGAATACACTCAAAATGGATTAAAGACTTAAATGTTAGCCTCAAAGCCATGAAAACCCTGGAAGAAAACGCAGGCAGTAAAAGCTCACACATTTCTTATAGGAATATTTTTTCTGATATATCCCCCCAGGCAAGGGATACCAAAGTAAAAATAATCAAATGGGGCTGCATCAAACTAAAAAGTTTTTGCACAGCAAAGGAAACCATCAACAAAATGAAAAGACCACCCACTGAATGGGAGAACATATTTGCCAACGACACATGTAATAAGGGGTTAATATCCAAAATTTATAAAGAATTTATACAATGTAACACCAAAAACCCAATCCAACCAAAAAATGGGCAAAAGACCTGAATAGACACTTCTCCAAGGAAGACATACAGATGGCCAACAGATATATGAAAAGATGGCCACACACACACACACACACACACACACACAATCAGCACTATCTGTAGACACATTTTGTGTATTGAAGCCAATGAGACAGATGGGTCGATGGTGTTCTCTGTATACTGCTTTAAATCAGATGTAACTGAACATTTTTGATATCTTTAATTACACATTAGAGAGATGTGATACAGACCCTACAATTGTAATAATTTTTCTATGACATCTGTTTTGTTCTTGGTGAGTCTAAAATAATGTGCTTAGAAATAACGCTCGTTCGGAGACTATTTCAGTTGGGTTTCCAAGGACATTTTATTGATGACAACAGTTGTAAAAAGAGTCAACAGCTTCCCAGGTCTAAACTTCTGAAGCATACCCCCTTCCAAAGAATGTTGAATTTGAGATACAGCAAAGAGAAATACTAAGCATAATTTTGTTACTTTCCCCAGGGGATCCAAAGAATCCCAAACCATATACATTAACTACTCTCCTGTACTTTCTAATTTATAACCTCTGTCCGTTTTGAGTTATGGGAGCAGCCAATAGAGTATCTGAAAACACTTTGTTTCTCCTCTGACTTTCTTCCCGGTAATATAAATATCTGAAGAGGTTATTGCTTACCCTATAAAATAGAGACATTATAATTTATGAATACTACGAAAAACCATGTTCATTCCTGTTAAGTTATGTGATGAGCTGGAAATGGTGATTTTTCTCAGTGGAAAAAGTATATTAATGGAAGAGCTTTCCTTATATCTTTAAAGGCACTCGGATTCCATTTTAGCCTTGATTACTCTCTATCACTCATCTTTTGACAATTTTCTTCACCTTATTCTTTGCTTCTACTTTCCTGTATCAATTAAGTGAAAACCCTATCCTCATCAATATCATCTCATGGTATGGCCAAAGGTTGGGCCCCGTCAGGCACAGATTCAAGCATGTAGCCCAGAAACTCAAGCACCTGTAGGGCTTCCTATACTGCCGTCTTCTTCACTGGAAGCTGAAAATTGAAGTTAGCAGTTGTAATCAGACTAGAGGATTACAATTTATCTGGGCTGTTGCTCAGTGCTACTCGTTTCATTTGTAATTGTCTCAGCTACGCAATTAAAAGTAAGCCTTCATCGTAAGACTTTATGTATAACTGTTTTAAACCTCCCGAGTTCTGAAACTTAGAAGACAAACTTACAGGGGCATCCTATTATTTTGTTTAACCATCCTAACTCACATCTAATTTAAGGTTTTGAGGAAAAGACTAGGGATATTTTATCCGTTTAACTAAATGACAGCCCAGCAGCGTGGTCAGCAAATACAGCTTGTATCTAGTTATAAATTTATAATAGAAACAATGGTCTCCATCAACTATTGTACATATTATGGTGGTGAATCAAGACATTTTTTAAAGTTCTCAGGTAGGTATAGGTTCTAAGCTAATAGCTAATTCTGTGATAGATAACATACTATCCGTAATCATTATTGTTTAAAATAAAAAACAATGTAAAAGGTCCACCCATTTGTTTGCCTATAGGAAGTAACTAATAAAACAAGTAATCCATAAGAGTTCACATTTGGTTACCTTCCCCTCCATCCCCAACTAGGAAAGTGCCTTATTAATATGGTTATGTAATAATTCTGATACTCAGTTTTTAATCTTTAAAAGTGGAAACTATAATTATAAAATTGTTCTAAGGAATAACAGTAAGGTATGTAAAGCACCCAGCATGTGTTTGTTACAGAATAGATAGTAACTGGTAGCTATATTATTTATAACAACAAATAATTCCAGGCAGTTAATTAGCTTCCTAAAAATGTTTAGAGTATTTACATCGAAAAACCACATATGGTTTGTTCTGGTTTTGTTACTTAGGTTGTTCTTAGGCCCACACCAGGTGGCTACCTTGTGTAACTCCAGCTTCGACTTCACTGTCCTCCCTCGAAAGCCTAGTGGTGGGAAGGCCCCAAAGCCGAAAATGACCCCGCGTCAGCCCTTCCGCACCTCCCGGGAGCCTGAGGGCTGCCTCTGCGGCTCTAGGTGGAACACTAGCATGCAGAGTTTGGAACCTGCTTTCTCATCTACTGCATTTGTGCCATGGGCCATGTTTTTCTCACCAATCCAGAAAGAAGGTAGAAGGGAAACACTAATGTTCATAGAATAAGTAAAAATATATTTTTTAACCTCAAAGGTATCTTTGTGTGGACTAGGCTGTTTACAAGGAGACCTGGTAACAATTAGTGTACAGTCCTAAGGAAACAGAGCAGGGAGTTAGATGTTCTTTCAATTTGCTGAAACAGAACAACCTAGGAGTAGATTTTATCTATTCTAGCATCTTGGTAACATCACTTATTTTTTAATATAGCTTTCTGAATGTTAAAATGACCATACCAATGTGGTATATAAATACTCCAAAGTGAGGGGATCATCTCTTCGTGGTTGCACTGATATTTGCTCTAAGTGCTACTGAGAAGCATGTGGGAATCAGAGTAATCAGTGTTATTGATTAGTTCTGCGACTTTGGGCAGGGGCAAATTCCGCCTTGAACATCTTTATACTGCTGCACACTATAGATGCTTTAAAAATACCTTAAATATAGACCGAGTCCTAGGGGCACGACAATCCCCCTAGGCACTGCTGTCGGGCTTAAGGAAGGAAGACTGGCTAGGGGCTCCATATAAAGAATTAAAAGAGCTTTTAAAAACAAATACATGTGACAGAGTTCACAATTAGCCCAGCATCTCCATAAAGAGTTATTTCAAAAGCAAATACCTCAATGGGGAAAATGCCTTTGCCAGTTGGATTGCAGAATTTAAAAAGAAAGAGCCTATGCCTTTGTTGGAAAATAAACAATTTGGCTGCTAGAAATGACTTCACAGCTTGGAACTCAGCAATGCCTATTTTGGATTAAATTGTCTGTTAATTAAACCAAAATGATTTAAACATTCATCACCTTGCCTTGCACCTCTCAGAAAACAAAAACAAAACCAAAACAACAACAAAAAAACCATGGGGTTTCAAGTGAGAACAACAGACATCACCCCTCCCCCTCCCTCTACCACCGCCCCCACCAAGCAGCCAGCCTGTTTAAAGTGCACAGGATTTATGAGGCCGAGGGACGCGCGCCGGCTTCCCACGGCCGATTGACAAACCCTGCTCGTGGGCCCAACAAGCGCAGCGTCCTAGCGCGTTGGCAGTTGGCGACCCCCCTCGACTCCCCCTCTTCAGCGAGCTCCCTGTGGCCTTTGGAGGCTCCAAACGTTTTCCATATTTGTTCAGCCTCCGTAATTCGAATACCAAGGCTGGCTCAGCCCGCCCAGCGCCGAGCTCCGGGCCCAGCGCGCAGTACGCGCACCCACCCACCCACGCAGCCGCCATGGGCAAGGACAAACAGCCCCGCGGCCAGCGAAGGCAGGGGGGGCCGTCGGCCACGAACGCCACCGGGCCCGACGACATGGGGCCGAAGAAGGGCAAGGGGGCCCCCAAGGAGTGCGGGGAGGAGGAGGCCCGGACTTGCTGCGGTTGCCGGTTCCCGCTGCTGCTGGCCCTGCTGCAGCTGGCCTTAGGCATCGCTGTGACCGTGGTGGGCTTTCTCATGGCGAGCATCAGCTCCTCCCTGCTAGTCAGAGACACTCCATTTTGGGCTGGGATCATTGTAAGCATCAAGTCTGTTTTGCCTAAGTGCGTTTGCCGAACAGGAATGCAAAGCCGCATGGTCGAGTCACTACTAACCCAGCTGCATGCTCCCTCTCCCAGCTACACTCTAACCGCGCTCTGCTTGGTGACTGACGCCCGCACTGTTGGTTTGCCCCGGGGCCCGCCCGGCACCTGAGGACTGGCGCCCCCTCTCCTGCTTGTGATTCCGAACGCCTCCAACCCGCCTGACTCTGACGCGCTCCGGCGCTGGGGAGGCGAGTCAAGGGCTGCTTATTTTGATCAAATTGACCAGCTCCAAGACAATAAATTCACTTTAGCTTTTTTCTTATCCTAGTCACTGGACCCCACCCCTGGCCCTATATGAGTAGCAAACAGTGAAGCAGGTCCATCTTAGTGAAAAGTAGGTTAGGAAAATCCTGTACTTGGAGTTACCCTATTGGGTAGTATTAATTTTATTCTTCACATATGAGGTTCGTTAGTAAGTTTTACAAAATAGTGGCCTAAAGCAGGAAACGTGAATACAGCAAGAACAACCTTAGTCTGCTGGAATCTAAAGAAGGATAAACTTAGAGCTCTGGCGGCATCAGAAGTTTACTTGGGACTCTGCTAATGAATGTACTGTTCTAAGCAGAACACTGCTCAGCTGTTGTGAGTGAGTGTTGAGACACACAGCATACTTCGCTTAATTAAATGGATTCTTTAATGTAAAATGGGTGCCATTTGTTGAGCACCTACTGTGTGCCTGTCCTGCAAAAGGCCTTACGTATATTTTTTCTAATCCCCACATCACCCTTATAGCTTTTACTCCAGGTCCCAAGTGAGAGGACCCACCACGGACTCATGCACCCGGGGTCATGAGTTGGCAGAGCTGCAGATCAGCCAAGTTGGTTTCTTTTTGCACGAAATTACATCTGCGTTTTCCTCGCTGAGTCACAGGGTCGCCAAATTTGATTTGTAATTTTAATATATATTGCTGCAGAGTCTAATTTATTTTTTTTTTAAAAAACTCTTGCATAATAAGGGCCTGGAATTATGAGAAATATCCTACATTGATTAATATGGCATTTTTGTACAGAATGGAATTTTAATATTATGCCATATTATAACGCCTTGTGGTTTACTAAAATCTCTTTGATCCGTGAAACAACACGTTGAGGTGGAAACTGTTTTTCCTCTGTAGATAGGAGGAAACAGATTAAGAAAAGTTAAAGGACATTCTCGAAGCCCAGAGATTAAAAGTAGCAGAGTCAGGCGAGCCCAGAATCTCAACTCACTTCTGGCTCCTCATCTCATATTGCTGCCATTGCTGCTATTACTGACCGCAGAAGCTCTAACTCGTAACGCAGCCCTCAAAGTAAGTTTGTGTCACGGCAGATGTTAGACACACCTGATAAATATGCATTGAGGTAGGTATTTTCTAATTAAGATTATTGGAACTCACACATTCTTGCAGGGTAATTTAAACCTTTTAATTTGTGTACTAAGAATTCCCACAAAATTATCATGATTGGAGTTTTCTAAATCAAGTGATTTTAAAAATAGCTGTTCACCAAGATATAGTGGGTATTTTAGTCGTCCCCATGACTGTCAAGATCTAGAGGGAATAAAATCTGTTCTTTAAGACTAGGCTAATTAAATGAAAAAAGGGAACAAAACTCCTTCATTCAGTAGTTCTGAATACCATTTGTGAATGTGTTTTCCATCTTTTTTAAAATTTCAAAAGCCCAGTACCCCCAAAAAAGCAAATTAGATGGGAAAACATTGTTTTTCTTAACGTTCAAGGCAAAACCATACAAATTGCGCAACTCTAAAATTTCAGGAGCATCACATGGACACTACCTGGGTATGCTACACAGATATAGTCTATAGTTAGGTCTCTTTTCTTTCCAGTTTTCTAGTTCATAATGTAGGATGTTCCTGAAGTTGGTTTGTAATGATATCTGTACTAGTATTTATAATCTTACATTTTCTTTAGAAAACTTAAGAGTCTGTTTGTAGAGCAGAGCAGCTAATGGAGATGCCCTGAGATGAGTGAGCAGAGCATCCGAGGAGCCAGCCAAGGACAGACTCTAACTCAGCTGGGCCAGAGCTGCAGGGAACGGGCGCTGCCTCCCATGGACACCGTGCTCGTTGTCCTCATCTCTCTGTCTGTGGTTATTCCCAGGGCTCTCTTCCAGGCTTTCAGGGATGGGACGAGACAGGGAGGCAGGATGGTGATGGGCAGAGGGGTAAAGCCTGCCCCTGTTGTCGAGCCTTAGCCCAGCCACTGTTCTCTGAGTAACTTTGGGCAAGTTATTTAACCTCTCTAGGTTTCCATTTCGTGATTGATGAAATCAGAATGATAATAATAATAATCCTACCTCTTAGGGTTGTCCTGAAGATTAAATAAATTAAGACATGTTCTAATACTTAGAATAGTGCTGGCTAATGGTAAGTATCCAATGAGGCAGCTCTTTTTATTAGCAATTAGTGAAGCAGTCATTGTTGATGGCACTCTTCAAATTAGAAGTGGCTCCATTTTATCTCTAGTCTTGCAGAACAGTTATTCTGGACTTGCTACATTTTCCAGAGCAGTTTGAACCGTGAAGGGGATATCAATTTGGTCACCTCACTTTTTCTGTTCTCACCCAGTTACTCTGAGCCATTGTCGTGGTATTAGGTCAGTCCTGTGCTTTCTGAGTTTCTCTGGAGGTTTATAAAAATTGACTTGGAAGAAAGTAGCTCCTTTGGGGTCATTTTCCCTAGGAATATGGGGTGATTTGGGTCTAGTATATCCCCCAGGGAATACTGGAATGCTTGCCCTGTTTAAAAGACCTGCTAGACCAAAGCATACTGGTCAATTGCTAGTGCTGAGGCAGTCAAACTGCTTCCAAAATTTAGGCTGAATTCAAGCAGCCTCTGCAGACTGATGCACTCACACCATGGACAGCCTTGCATGCTTAACTCATATTACTTATTCATTTTGCAAGGGTGACCATCCCAGTACCCTGAGATGAGGGCATTGCCATTCCCACAGTCGAATCTTTGTCAGTGGGCAGATCCATTGAGGTGACTTCTTGTTGGCCAATGTTTGGTTGCATTGATGAATATTCAGTGAACTTCTGGTTATAGGTTGAAGAAGCTTTTGGTAATCTATGATCAGAGCGCCATGTCCAGTGAAACTTTAGGACGACAAACAGGTTATTTCTTGCCTATCCATAAATATGACTTCCTCATATCAGAGAAATGACTGAAGTCTTTTTACTTCGGTTACAAAAGGTTCCTATAAAAGAAAAAAATCGAACGGAGCCACTATGGAGACTAGGTAAGCTGTCACGTGATGTTCTTCTATCAAAATTCTTTATAAATGGCTTAAGGGTTGTAAATCATACCACAAGGACAATACAAAGTGAAACAGGGTCTTTGAGGATGCACCTGGCTAGGGGCAGGGGCTCCAAAGTAGTAGAAGTTTGCATTTCATTCTACCAATGGCTTGAATAGGCATTTGAGGTTGCTCATCATTCTGGAATTCTCACTGATGAAAAATGAGTATGGATTGAAGGAATTCAAGAATTTTGGGTCCTTTGCTCACTTCTTACTTAAATGAATACAATTTCGGTTTTGGTGGCACATAACATATTTGAACTTTGGCTTACCTTTCTTCATCCACTAACATGTGCTGGGGGTGTCCAGTGCGCTGGGCATTGGTCTAAAAGTAATGAATTATATACCAGGAGAGATGTCCAGAGATCTTGATGGACCTGTGCCCTTACCATATCTGACATTAATGAATAGTTCCTATTGGAAAACTTAACCCACGCAAATATTTTTAAAGCCTATTTACCTTTTAAAGCATTTCACTTACAGTGATTTATTTCCTTTGGCATCTCTACTCTGAAGTCAATTTAAGAGCAAACTCTTGCCTCTTATCCCCAATGGGGATGCTTAGTATTTGTTAGTCTCTTGGCCCTTATAGGTAATATTTCCATGGGAAATGGGGATTTCTTTGCCTTATTGTGGTTTTTAGCTTTCCTGTTCTCTTTCCATTGCTTCCATAGCTGACCCAACTGGAATAAAAATTCTGATATATATACCACATTAATCACATTAGAAAGTTTAAAGAAAGGGCTTAAAAGGAAGGAAAGAATATTTCCTTTCCTTAATGTCATTCATAAAACTCATTGTATAAATCTGTCATGATTAAGAGTCCTGTCAAGAATTTGAATAACAGTTTTCATATGTTAACTTACTCTAAGGAATTAAAAATGCAGGTTTATTCAGATTTCTAAAGTCTATGTCTAATTTGACTTAACAGAAAGGAAAATTGGATGCTTATTTATTTTAAAACAGAATACACCTGAAATTCACAATTAGATGTATGACACATAGCACATATCAGTTTTCTACACAGATGCATTGACATTTGAGAAATTTAATCTGGAATTATATTAGGAATATATTGCATAGCAATACATTATTTTTTATATTGGGACTTTAATATGCTTCAAAATCTAATGTTACACCTGTGGTACCTCTGGGAAATAATTTTTATTATATCAACTGTCACAGAATTGTTAGGAGGTGAGGGGTGTTAATTGCATGCCATAACTCAATTTATTATAATAAATAATGGTAGGAAAATTATACATGAAGTAATACTAGTAAGTAAACATGAAATGTAATTCAATTAATTGGTCAAAAAATTAAAAAGTATGTGAAAATAAAAGGGAATATTAAAAATATTGATAATGTATTTTCTGAAAGAATTTTAGAAATGCAGAATAAAGAATAAGAAAGGTCAAGACTGAACAAAATCATTTGATGCTTGGAATATTAGGATAACTGTATTTTCCCATTACCTCTAGTGTTTACTAAGCCAGATACACAAAGGCCATGAGAGCACTTATATCAGATGGAGCGTATCCCTGAATCTTCTTTCTCATTTTAAAATAAGGAAGAGAAGGAGCAGGTTCCGGTATTTTCAATCCGGTACAGTGGCTATATTCAACTCAGAAAGCC